TTTAGTTTCATTGTCCTACACTCAATTAATAGTCTTATCAGGACAAATTACATGAACTATATACTTTTCAATCTGGTAAAGACAGAACCATGTGAAACTCTGTTTTAGTCTGTCCCACACTTCAAGACTGGAAGTTTCAATGATTTTTCAGAGAACCTTCAACTCATGCATTGATCTTTCTATATATACATATCACATAACCTATTCTTTCAATCATCAACCAACAACAAGCAAATCCAATAACCTGAATCCTTTCATACACCTCTTCAAAAAGAAGTCAAACTTTCTGTCAAAATCATAGAAATGGCTTTCGTGAGAAGTCTATTGAGTGCAAAGAAGATTCTTGGTCGCTCCACAACAGCCGCAGCCGCAACAAGCAAAAGGGCAACCTCAGCAGCACCAAAAGGGTTTCTTGCGGTGTACGTAGGAGAAAGTCAGAAGAAGAGATATGTGGTGCCAATCTCATACTTGAGCCAGCCTTTGTTTCAAGCTCTTCTCAGTAAATCAGAAGAAGAGTTTGGGTTCGATCATCCTATGGGTGGCTTAACGATCCCTGGTCCTGAAGATGCTTTCATTGCTGTGACGTCTCGGATCCAATGAATTGTTTTTTTTTTCAAGTTAGAGATAGATTTGTTCCTTGTAAATAGAAGATATTTTTCTCCTCATTCTTCTTGAAAGAGTTGTTCACGAAGTTTTGAAAAGTATATACAATTTCTCTGTTATAAACAAAATCATGATTCATGTTACATTATTACATTTTTGGATCGATGATTGGAATAGAAATAACATCACCAATAGAAGAACTATAAATTTACTACTTTTAAAACTTTTAAGTTGCTGTTAAATTAATGAGAGCATTTTACCATATGGATCGTAGAGATCTGCTAGAGAGTTGTAGTACAAGAACCATAATACTTTCTGTGAATCTCTGCCTTGGATCTCACGTCTTATGTATAAGCCTATAACCTGCTAAATAAGTCTTTCTTGTTCTGTTTCCCTCTTTTACCGTTAAATTGGCGCCAAAAACACAAGAGTTGACAAAATTGACACTTTCCTTTCAACCACAGCTTCTACGTTACAGCTTCTCTTAAACACTAAAGCTAAAGTAATGCATCTGCAAGGGAGTAAATGCATTCTCAGCTTTCAATATATAGTCCTTAAAATATGGCATACTATGTATCAGTCGTACAACTTACTCACGTAACAATGAGAGAAACAGTATCAGTCATTTGATCAAATGTATCTCTATATTCTGTTTTCCCTTTATTTAGCAAAGCTCAAATGCCTATTTAGAACTGTCACGGTTAAAAGAAAGAATGAACTTCAACCAGTGACAGAGGAGAAGATACTTTCATCACTGTGACCTCCGGGCTAAAGGGAAGATGATCCAAGGAGAAGAGAGATCTAACATTATGTAGCTCGAGTTAGATATAGAATTATTCAATGTAAATAGGTCAACCTTTTTTGCTCGTTCTTTGTGAGAGAAGAGTTGTTCCAACAAGTTACAAAGCTCAATGTGAATGTCATTTTTGTTGTGTAAGCATTAAAGGTATCTCTATGCAAATTGCAGAAAGCTTTAACATATATTCATCAAGAAAGTTTGGGTTCTTAAAGATAACTGTTCAAGTATTTGAACTGCTCAAGTGTTTATGAAATGAAGAGTTTGTTCTGTTTCAGTATATACAGACTACAGAGGGATCAACGAAATGAGTTAAAACTTGTTGTCTACATGAACATCGATTACACATGATTCTGTCTTTCAAATATCAATCAAGAAATGGATGATTGATTGACTGTGAACAAAGCTCATTGCAAATGTGAACTGGAGTATGATTCTAACTTTAGAATTTTTAATGAGATTTAGGAGGGTGGGTGGAGTTTCAATGAGAGAACAATAATAGAGAAGCTTTTGTAGGACTCTTAAACAGAGATTAAACTTTGTCATGTCTTTGCATTCTGTATAACTTTGTCATATCTTTCTTTGTTAGAGAAAAGACTTCAATGGATGATGAACACTTCACTTATTTTATTCAGCAAGTAAAATATAATTTAAATAGAAGAATGGTGTTGTCCTTTGTTATTCAATGATCTATGAAAAATGTATTAGTTTAGCATGAAAATGGTATATACTTTCAAAATTAGAAGAAAGAAATGAGAAAAGAATCTCCCATACTTTACAATGAATAAGTCTATTTCTAACTCAAGAAAAAGAAAAGATTTGGATAATCATAATCATCATTGGAGCCTAGACGTTACGTTGATGAATATATCTTCAGGACAAGGAATCGTTAAGCCACCCATTGGATGATCAAAACCAAACTCTTCCTCGGATTTACTGAGAAGCGCTTGAAAAGAAGGCTGGCTCAAGTATGAGATTGGCACCACATATCTCTTCTTCTGGCTCTCTCCTACGTACACCGCAAGAAACCCTTTTGGTGCCGCAGAGGATGCTCTTTTGCTCGTGGAAGCTGCTGAGACAGAGCGGCCAAGAATCTTCTTTGCACCCAATATACTTCTCACGAAAGCCATTTCTATGCCTTTTCTTTGAAAGTTTGAATTCTTTTAAAGAGATGTATGAAAATATTAAACTTATTGGATTGCTAGTTGCTGGTTGATGATGGGGAAGAATGGCTCTTGTGTATATATATAGAAAGGCCAGTGAAAATTATGTGTTGGAAAAGTCTTTGAAACTTGTGGTCTTTGAAGAGTAGGGACAGACTAGAACAAGAGAGTATCACATGGTTCTGTCTTGAGCATCTGGAAAAGAAGCATTAATGCAATTTGTACATTTTGGATTGTATTCTCCATGTGCAATTCACAAGGGCTTGTCTTCTCAATGTTTCAGAGATAGGACGTTTCTGTGAATCTGTGATGATCAAGTGGTTAGCTCTCTTGCTATCATCTAAACTCTATGGTTGAAATGTATTTAATAAGGGCAAAGTGGGACCATTTGTTCTTCAACAACAGAACAGAAAACAAGTCTCTGTCACTGGTTTAAGTTAATTTTTTAACACTTACGCAAGAAAGTTCTAAGTACAAATATTGTGGTCTTTGAGCTTTCCTAGTAGAGGCGAAAACAGAGTACATAAAATACATTTGATCAAATGACTGAGATTGTTAGGTGAGTTGTAAGACTGATAAATAGTAATTTAAGGACTAAATATTGAAAGCTGAGAATGCATCCACTCCCTTGTAATACAAGGAAAGTGCCGGTTTTGTTAACTCTTGTAATTGTTGGCGCCAGTTTAACAGTAAATGAGAGAAACTAGGGCTGTGCACTAATATTCGTTACTCGTAAATACTTGCTACTTGATTCGTATTCGGCTTGAAAAAATAAGTATTTGGCGTTTTCAAAGCAAGTAACAAGTATGTAAATTTTATTATTTGCAAGTAAAAGTCAAGTATCAAGTATCACAATTTTTTTTAATACTCGGTTCGTTACTTCTTTTATTACTTAATATTGATTCTAAAAATTTGTACTACCCCTTAATATACCTGTTTTACTATTGTTGTTGTAATAAAATTTAATTTCTTTAACTTTTTAAATATTTAATGTAATACCTACTTATATTTAATGAATTATATATATACGCACTAAATCAAATAACTTAAACAAACTAAGCAAAACAACAAATATATGAAAAACATACATATTCCGGGTTAACAAAAATTTATATTTTTAGTATATTTAATTTCAAAATTTTTAAACCTAAATAAACAAGTATCAAGTATTACCAAGTAATTTACAAATATTTAAAATATAGGCAAGTATTTGATTAGTTAAGTACTTGATCGAATCAAGTATAAGCACAAATACAAAAATTTAATACTTGCACAAGATAAGTTAAGTAGCGGGTAGGGGGAAAACCTCAAATACCCGGCTTGTGCCCAGGCATAAGAGAAACAGAGCAAATCTCAAGATACAAAACAAAAAGACTTTCTAGCAGAAAATTTAGTTAAGGTGAGCCACAAATTATGCTCATTTACTTTTATTAATGGCAACTAAAGTTTTAATTTATATGGTTATCTTTACTTGGTATACTTGGTGTTTGTCTTTTCTCTTTTAGTGAACATCCAAAATGTATTAATTTAACATGACTCAAGAGTCAAGACTGTATCTACAATAGAAAATAAGTATTTACTTTCAAAAAATTTGGAACAACTCTTTCAGGATGAAAGAGAAAACACGTTTCTCCTCTATTTACAAATAATAAGTCTATCTCTATCTCTAAGAACAATATGTTGGATGATCATCATTGAAGCCGAGAAGTTACATTGATGAAGATATCTTCGGGACAAGGGATCGTTAATCCACCCATTGGATGATCAAACCCAAATTCTTCCTCGGCTTTACTTAAAAGAGCTTGAAACGAAGGTTGGCTCAAGTAAGAGACTGGCACCACAAATCTCTTCTTCTGCGCCTCTCCTACGTACACAGCAAGAAACCCCTTTGGTGCCGCTGAGGGTACCCTTTTGCTTGTTGCTGCTGTTAAGGAGCGGCCAAGAATCTTCTTTGCACCAAATATACTTCTCACGAAAGCCATTACTGTTCCTTTTTGGGACTGAAAGTTTGAATTCTTATGAAACTTCTGAAGATGTATGAAAAGATTCAAGTTATTGGATTTGCTTGTTTGTTGGTTGATGATGGAAAGAATAGGCAATGTGATAATGTATATATAGAAAGATCAATGAATGAGTTGAAGCCTCTCTGAAAAGTCTTTGAAACTTGTGGTCTTCAAGTGTGGGTCATACTAGAATAGAGTTTCACATGGTTATGTCTTCACCAACTAGAAAAGTTATAGGTAAATGCAATTTTTTTCTTGGTGAGATTATTGATTGAGTGTGGGACAATAAGCTAGAAACAAACTACATATGCAATCCACAAAAGGGTTGTTTTCTCAATGTTTGTTTACATAAGACATGCTATTGTCTATAATAAAGACCAGCAAGTTTATGTTCTTCATGTTCTGTGGTGATCATATTCTCTCATCTATATTTTATGGTCTAAATGGATTCAGTTAATAAGAACGTACAGTGGGGACCTGAAGTTTCTCAACAACATAACAACAAGTCTCTGTCACAGGTTAAGTTGTTCTTTGATGATTTCCACAACTAGGATATAACATGACAGCTTTCGTTTCTTGGCATAGGTCATATCTAAAAGACACAACCATGTGAAACTCTGTTAGTGTATGTCCCAGGCTTCCAATGCTTCCAGGGTTGTTTCAATCTATTTATACATCCAGAGATAGAACCAACTTCTTCAAATCACCAAGTAGCAAAGCAAGCCAAACTTGAGCATCTAACATCTTTTTTGAAAAGCTTCAAATTTCAATTTTCCATACACAAAAAATGTCTTTGTTCAGAGGTCTCTTGGGTGCCAAGAAGATTATTAATTTTTCTGTAGCGGCTACAAGCAAAAGAACAGTTTCAACGCCAAAGGGGTTTCTTGCGGTGTANTCTTCAAATCACCAAGTAGCAAAGCAAGCCAAACTTGAGCATCTAACATCTTTTTTGAAAAGCTTCAAATTTCAATTTTCCATACACAAAAAATGTCTTTGTTCAGAGGTCTCTTGGGTGCCAAGAAGATTATTAATTTTTCTGTAGCGGCTACAAGCAAAAGAACAGTTTCAACGCCAAAGGGGTTTCTTGCGGTGTATGTTGGCGAAGACCAGGTCCAGAAGAAGAGATATGTGGTGCCAATCTCGTACTTGAGCCAGCCTTCTTTTCAAGCTCTTCTCGGTAAATCAGAAGAAGAGTTTGGATATGATCATCCAATGGGTGGATTAACGATTCCTTGTCCTGAAGATACCTTCATCAATGTGACTTTCCGGCTTCAGCAATGAAGAAAAATAACTGACATTACTTTAGCTTTAGAGAGAGAATTATTCAATGTATATATGTTAACTTTTTCATCTTTCTTTGTGAAAGAGAGTTATTCAAGAGGTTACAAAATTAGATGTGTATGCTATATCTCTGTGTAAGGACAATGGTTTCAATTATACAAATTACAGCAAATTTTCTGAGAATATTGTCATCGTTCTTGCATACATGATATGTATCTCTATAATAGTATGGCTCGATCGGCTTAGTGTTTTGAATTCATTTGATCACATGGAAAAAAAATCTAGAAATAACTTGTCTCACAGTTAATCAATCATCCTTTCTTTTTTTCTCAGTCATGTGGAATGCTGTTTGAGAAGACCACAAGTTTCAACTCATTTCAGTGACTCCTTTGTATCTACAGAAACAGAACAAATATCTTTTATCTGTTTGATATGCTCTTCATATCGTTAACACGAAGCAATCAAGAAACATGAATAAATATCTTTAAGAACCCTCAAACTTTCTAAATTAATGGGAAACAAGTTGAAATTTGTGAAACGCTGCAGACCATATAATTCAACTCATAACATTGATTCCTCTGATATTTGAAACATAACAAACTTTTAATGTCATTAACACTCAAGCAATCCAAACTTTCAAGATGAGATTATAATTTTAGAAAATTTCTGCAATTCAAATAGAGATGTTTATTGCTTACAAAAAAAAAATGACATTCACATTAAGCATGGTGGCCCCTTGAAACAACTCTTTTCTCACAAAGAACGAGCAAAAAGGTTGACCTATTTACATTGATTAATTCTATATCTAACTCAAGCTACATAATGTTAGATCTCTCTTCTCCTTGGATCATCTTCCCTTTAGCCCGGAGGTCACAGTGATGAAAGTATCTTCAGGACAAGGGATCGTTAAGCCACCCATTGGATGATCAAACCCAAACTCTTCTTCAGATTATCTGAGCAGAGCTTGAAAGGAAGGCTGGTTCAAGTACGAGATTGGCACCACATATCTCTTCTTCTGGACCTGGTCTTCGCCAACATACACCGCAAGAAACCCCTTTGGCGTTGAAACTGTTCTTTTGCTTGTAGCCGCTACAGAAAAATTAATAATCTTCTTGGCACCCAAGAGACCTCTGAACAAAGACATTTTTTGTGTATGGAAAATTGAAATTTGAAGCTTTTCAAAAAAGATGTTAGATGCTCAAGTTTGGCTTGCTTTGCTACTTGGTGATTTGAAGANTACACCGCAAGAAACCCCTTTGGCGTTGAAACTGTTCTTTTGCTTGTAGCCGCTACAGAAAAATTAATAATCTTCTTGGCACCCAAGAGACCTCTGAACAAAGACATTTTTTGTGTATGGAAAATTGAAATTTGAAGCTTTTCAAAAAAGATGTTAGATGCTCAAGTTTGGCTTGCTTTGCTACTTGGTGATTTGAAGAGTTGGTTCTATCTCTGGATGTATAAATAGATTGAAACAACCCTGGAAGCATTGGAAGCATGGGACATACACAAACAGAGTTGGATCAAACATGACAGCTTTCGTTTCTTGGCATAGGTCATATCTAGAAGACACAACCATGTGAAACTCTGTTTGTGTATGTCCCATGCTTCCAATGCTTCCAGGGTTGTTTCAATCTATTTATACATCTAGAGATAGAACCAACTTCTTCAAATCACCAAGTAGCAAAAGCAAGCCAAACTTGAGCATCTAACATCTTTTTTGAGAAGCTTCAGATTTCAATTTTCCAGACAAAAGAAATGTCTTTGTTCAGAGGACTCTTGGGTGCAAAGAAGATTATTAACTTTTCTGTAGCGGCTACAAGCAAAAGGACAGTTTCAACACCAAAGGGGTTTCTTGCAGTGTACGTTGGTGAAGATAAGGTCCAGAAGAAGAGATATTTGGTGCCAATCTCATATTTAAACCAGCCTTCTTTTCAAGCTCTACTCGGTAAATCAGAAGAAGAGTTTGGATATGATCATCCAGTGGGTGGCTTAACGATCCCTTGTCCTGAAGATACTTTCATCAATGTGACTTCCCGGCTTCAGCGATGAATATGAAAGAGAGTTGTTCAAGAGGTTACAAAATTTAATTGTGTGTGCCATATCTCTGTGTAAGGACAATGGTTTCAATTATACAAAGTACAGCAAGTTTTCTGAGAATATTGTCATCGTTCTTGCATGCATGAAATGTATCTATATTATAGTATGGCTCGATCAGCTTAGTGTTTTGAATTCATCCGATCACATGAAAAAAAAAACTAGAAATAAGATGGAACAAATCATTCATGGGTATAACCAATCAGATAACAGTTACATGAGAACATTGTTACTCGTCTCACAGTCAATCAATCAATCATCCTTTCTTGTTTCTCACAGTCATGTGGAATGCTGTTTGGGAAGACCACAAGTTTCAACTCATTTCATTGATTTCTTTGTATCTACAGAAACAGAACAAGCTCTTCATATCATTGACACCAAGCAATCAAGAAACGTAATTAATTATCTTTACGAACCCTCAAATTTCCAAGGAAAACAGGTTGAAACCAAGCGAGGACGGCGGCCCAGTGGTCTTGAGGGAGCTTCGGCCCTAATACGGATTTGGGTTCGAATCCCACTAGCCACTAGGGGATAAAATTTAAAATCTGGGCTCTCCCAGCGTCCAGTGACCGAAGCGTAATCCGGCCGATAACGTAGACTGACACGAACAATCGCCGCTAGTCTGGATCCACCTTGGTAGATGCAGACCATAAAATTCACCTCATATCAATGATTCCTCTGTATATTTGAAACATAACAAACTTTTAATGTCATTAACACTCAAGCAATCCAAACTTTCAAGATGAGATTATTTTTTTCAGAAACTTTCTGCAATTCAAATTGAGATGTTTATTGCTTAACATTCACATTAAGCATTGTGACCCCTTGAAACAACTCTTTTCTCGCAAAGAACGAGCAAAAAGGTTGACCTATTTACATTGATTAATTCTATATCTAACTCGAGCTACATAATGTTAGATCTCTCTTCTCCTTGGATCATCTTCCCTTTAGCCCGGAGGTCACAGTGATGAAAGTATCTTCAGGACAAGGGATCGTTAAGCCACCCATTGGATGATCAAACCCAAACTCTTCTTCAGATTTACTGAGCAGAGCTTGAAAGGAAGGCTGGTTCAAGTATGAGACAGGAACCCTATATTTTTTCTTCTGGACCTTGTCCTCACCAACATACACAGCAAGAAACCCTTTTGGTGTTGTAGCCATTACAGAGCGGCTCATAATCTTCTTTGCACCCAAGAAATTTCTTACCAAAGCCATTTATAGTCTTTGAAAAATCTAAACTGATGACAGGTTGAGGATAACAAGTTAAATTCTGAGAGTCAACTGTTAAGCTTTGGATTGCTTTACTACTTGGTGATGTGAAGTTTGTTCTGTTTCTTGATGTATATATAGATCAATGACGGGGTTAAAACCACCTTGCTATCAATGGAACTATGGTCTACAACTACAAGCATAGGACATGCATGAAGAGAGTTTCACATGGTTTTGTTTTTCCAGATATGACAAGCAATGAAAGCTAATCAACATTATTTGCACTTCACAAGATGAGACATTGCAATCTTCTCTTGTCTATGATAATTGATGTGGTGTGACCGTTAAGTTTCCTACCAAGAGAACAAGAGTGAATACTCTCAAAGGACATGATCTCATGTGGTGAAACTTAGATTTGATTGATTTCTAAACCGTGACTAACTTGTCAAGCTATCACATCTATGTGATTATCTCTGCAAAAACCTCATCCAACCACCACCATCAGATGGGGCCTTATGAGGTCAAAATGTTGGGGAAGACTAGACAAAGCATGTGTTCAGTACATATTAGGTGAATTCTCTGAGCCAGAAAAGAACAACTTAACCAGAGACAGAGATGAGAGAATATGATCACCACAGAACTTGAACAACTTGAAAGCATATGTCTTTATCAGAAAGAAAAAGAAAATAATTGAGAAAAACAGTCCTTTGTGAATTGCATATGGAGTTTGTTTTATAGTTTAATTGTCCTACACTCAAGTAATAGTCTTATCAGCACTCATGACAGAACCATGTGAAACTCTGTTTTAGTCTGTCCCACACTTCAAGACCGGAAGTTTCAATGATTTTTCAGAGAACCTTCAACTCATTCATTGATCTTTCTATATATACATATCACATAACCCATTCTTTCAATCATCATCCAACAACAAGCAATCCAATAACCTGAATCTTTTCATCCACCTCTTCAAACTTTCTGTCAAAATCATAGAAATGGCTTTCGTGAGAAGTCTATTGGGTGCAAAGAAGATTCTTGGCCGCTCCACAACAGCAGCAGCCGCAACAAGCAAAAGAGGAACCTCAGCGGCACCAAAAGGGTTTCTTGCGGTGTACGTAGGAGAAAGTCAGAAGAAGAGATATGTGGTGCCAATCTCATACTTGAGCCAACCTTCGTTTCAAGCTCTTCTCAGTAAATCAGAAGAAGAGTTTGGATATGATCATCCAATGGGTGGCTTAACGATCCCTTGTCCTGAAGATACTTTCATTGCTGTGACATCTCGGATCCAATGATTTTTTTTTTCAAGTTAGAGATAGACTTGTTCCTTGTAAATACAGGATATATTTCTCCTCATTCTTCTTGAAAGAGTTGTTCAAGAAGTTTTGAAAAGTAAATACAATTTCTCTGTTATAAACATAATCATGATTCATGTTACATTATTACATTTTTGGATCGATCATTGGAATAGAAATGACATCACCAACTGAAGAACTATATAAATTTATACTTTTAAGTTGCTGTTAAATTAATGAGAGCATTTTATCATATGGATCAGAGAGATCTGCTTACAAGAATCATAATATTTTCTGTGAATCTCTGCCTTGGATCTCACGTCTTATGTATAAAGCCAATAACATGCTAAGGGCATCCACATTGGTGGATCTCATATGGAGGTCCTTAAGCATTAATAAGCTATTTTTTTTTAAAAAAAAATATTTGAATAGTTAAGGACTCTAATCGAAAAAGTGAGTCCAATGGTGGATATGGCACGTTTATTTTAAGGACTCCAAAATGGAGTCCACCTCACCACCATCTCACTTCCTCTTCCTGCAGATTCAGATGATGTAGTTGCTTGGGTTGTTGATGACTACCTTATGAATGATTTTTCTTCAAGCTGTATCTGGAATGTACTACGGCCTAGTCAGAATTTGCAAACTTGGGTAGATGTAGTCTGGTTTAAGGGTGCTATCCCTAAGCATGCATTTAATATGTGGGTTGCCAATCTCGACAGGCTCCCAACTAAATCCAGACTTCACTCTTGGGGCATGAACATTAATCCGTTATGCTCCTTCTGCTCAAAGGAAGTGGAGACCAGAGACCATCTTCTACTCTCCTGTGAGTTTAGTATCGATGTTTGGCATTATGTTTTTCAGAGATGTGGATCACCAGGAACTCATTTTATTAGTTGGACAGAGCTGTTAAGCTGGATACGATCTGCAGGCCCACAGCCACTATCTGTCCTGCGACGAATGGCCACTCAAGCAACAATTTTTCATCTCTGGAAACAAAGAAACAATCTCATTCATAACCAGATCTCACTATCTGCTCCTGTGGTCTTCAAAGGTCTAGAAAAGGAAGTAAGAAACGGTATCTCAGCGAGAAGACATTTGAAAAGATTCTCTTCGCTAATGGCTATTTGGTTAAGATAACATTCTGTGTAGTGTTTTCTTAATCCATCTCTTTTTGGTCCACTCTGTTTTTTTCTCGTCTTTTGCCGGGGTGTTCCAACCTTAAGGTTCTGCTCTTTTGTAAAAACCTTTTAATCATCTAATGATATTTACAAGTTAGCAAAAAAAAAAAAAAAAAAAAACATGAAAAATCTTTTAAAAAAATAATTTGCTTTAAACATTAGAAATTTTAAAAAGTTATTTATTGCATAATTAAATTGAAAGATATAATAATTATTAAACTTGATTACCAAATTTGATCCAAATATTTTAGATCAAATCGTTCTTCAATTGTTCATGAATATGCTGATCGCGAAGATCATTTTGCATGCGAAGCACATTACTGAGATTTGTAGACGTGTCGGTACTATAAGACATATCCATTCGTGAATTTCTGGAGGACAAAATGATACATGCTCTCATAATGCGCCCAATCTTTTTCTTGTTCCATGAAAGAGTCGGGTTTTTCACAATCGCAAATCGAGCTTGCAATACTCCAAAAGTCTGTTTCACATCTTTTCGGGTTGATTCTTGAACTTGAGCAAATAACACTGTTTTAGGACCTTGAGAGTGATATAGATTGGATAAATACTGACCATTTTGGATATATACCGTCAGTGAGGTAGTACGCCATATTATACTTGTGTCCGTTGACCACGTACTCGACCCGGGGAGCTCGACCGTATATAATGTCATCAAAAAACGGAGATCGATCGAGGAAATTAATATCGCTTAAGGTACCTAAAGGACCAAAAAAAGCGTACTATATCCAAAGATCCTGTGAAGCTACATCCTCCAAGACAATTGTCGATTTTGCTGATCCATGGGTGTACATACCTTTCCAAGATTTAGGAGGATGGGAGGAGTTTCAACGAGAGAACAATAATAGAGAAGCTTTTGTAGGACTATTAAACAGAGATTAATTAAACTTTGTCATTGTCTTTGCATTCTGTTTAACTTTGTCATCTCTTTCTTTGTTAGAGAAAATACTTCAATGGATGATGAACACTTCACTTATTTTATTTAACAAGTAAAGTATAACTTAAATAGAAAAATGGTGTTGTCCTTTGTTTTTCAATGATCGATGAAAAGTGTATTAGTTTTAACATGAAAATGGTATTTACTTTTAAAACTTTAGAAGAAAGAAAATGAGAAAAGAATCTCCTATACTTTACAGTGAGTAAGTCTATTTCTAACTCATGAAGAAGTAAAGAATGGATAATCATCATCATTGGAGCCTAGACGTTACGTTGATGAATATATCTTCAGGACAAGGGATCGTTAAGCCACCCATTGGATGATCAAAACCAAACTCTTCCTCGGATTTACTGAGAAGAGCTTGAAAAGAAGGCTGGCTCAAGTATGAGATTGGCACCACATATCTCTTTTTCTGACTCTCTCCTACGTACACCGCAAGAAATCCTTTTGGTGCCGCCGAGGATGCTCTTTTGCTCGTGGAAGATGCTGAGACAGAGCGGCCAAGAATCTTCTTTGCACCCAATATACTTCTCACGAAAGCCATTTCTATTTCTTTTCTCTGAAAGTTTGAATTATTTTGAAGAGATGTATGAAAAATATTAAACTTATTGGATTGCTAGTTGCTGGTTGATGATGGGGAAGAATGGCTCTTGTGTATATATATAGAAAGGCCAGTGAAAATTATGTGTTTGAAAAGTCTTCGAAACTTGTGGTCTTTGAAGTGTAGGGACAGACTAGAACAAGAGAGTATCTTCACATGGTTCTGTCTTGAGCATCTGGAAAAGAAGCATTAATGCAATTTGTACATTTTGGATTGTACTCTCCATGTGCAATGCACAAGGGCTTGTCTTCTCAATGTTTGAGAGATAGGACGTTTCTGTGAATCTGTGATGATCAAGTGGTTAGCTCTCTAGCTATCATCTAAACTCTATGGTTGAAATGTATTTAATAAGGGGACCATTTGTTCTTCAACAACAGAACAGAAAACAAGTCTCTGTCACTTGTTGAAGTTAATTTCTTAAAACTTACGCAAGAGAGTTCTAAGTACAAATATTTCGGTATTTGAGCTTTGCTAATAGAGGGGAAAACAAAGTACATAAAATACATTTGTTTCAAATGACTGATATTGTTACGTGAATTGTAAGACTGATAAATAGTAATTTAAGGACTAAATATTGAAAGCTGAGAATGCATTCACTCCCTTGCAGATGTAGACTGATTCTTACTTTAGCTTTTAGAGTTTTAATAAGAAAGCTAATGAAGAAACTGTTGTTACAAGGAAAGTGCCGGTTTTGTCAACTCTTGTATGTTTTGGCGCCAATTTAACGGTATATAAGAGAAAAACAGAGCAAATATCAAGAAACAAAATAAAAAAGGAATTTCTAGCAGACAAACTGGTTAAGTTGAGCCACGGATCCATTATGATAAATGCTCATTTAGCTTTATTAATGGCAACTAAAGTATAAACTTGGTGTCGCCTTTTCTTCTTCAGTGAAAATGTAATTAAATTGACATGAATCTTGATTGTGTCTGTAACTGAAAATTGGTATGTACTTTTCAAAACTTTTAGAACAACTCTTTCAAGATGAAAGAGAAACAAATTTCTTCTCTATTTACAAGGAACAAGTCTATCTCTAAGTTTAAAAAAAAATTCATTGGAGCCGAGACGTCACAGCTATGAATGCATCTTCAGGACAAGGGATCGTTAAGCCACCCATTGGATGATCAAACCCAAACTCTTCCTCGGCTTTACTTAGAAGAGCTTGAAATGAAGGCTGGCTCAAGTAAGAGACTGGCACTACAAATCTCTTCTTCTGAGCCTCTCCTACGTACACAGCAAGAAACCCCTTTGGTGCCGCTGAGGGTAACCTTTTGCTTGTTGCTGCTGTTGTGGAGCGGCCAAGAATCTTCTTTGCACCAAATATACTTCTCACGAAAGCCATTACTGTTTTTTTTGGGACTGAAAGTTTGAATTCCTATGAAACTTCCGAAGATGTATGAAAAGATTCAAGTTATTGGATTTGCTTGTTTGTTGGTTGATGATGGAAAGAATAGGTAATGTGATATGTATATATAGAAAGATCAATGAATGTGTTGAAGCCTCTCTGAAAAGTCTTTGAAACTTGTGGTCTTCAAGTGTGGGTCATACTAGAATAGAGTTTCACATGGTTATGTCTTTACCAACTAGAAAAGTTATAGCTAAATGCAATTTTTTTCTTGGTGAGATTATTGATTGAGTGTGGGACAATAAGCCAGAAACAAACTACATATGCAATCCACAAGGGGTTGTTTTCTCAATGTTTGTTTAGATTAGACATATGCTATTGTCTATAATAAAGACCAGCAAGTTTCTCTTCTTCATGTTCTGTGGTGATCATATTACCTCATCTATGTGGTCTTAACGGATTCAATTAATAAGAACGCACAGTGGGGACCTGAAGTTTCTCAACAACAGAACAACAAGTCTCTGTCACAGGTTAAGTTGTTCTTTGATGATTTCCACAACTTGGATCACACATGACAGCTTTCGTTTCTTGTCATAGGTCATATCTAGAAGACACAACCATGTGAAACTCTGTTTGTGTATGTCCCATGCTTCCAATGCTTCCAGGGTTGTTTCAATCTATTTATACATCCAGAGATAGAACCAACTCTTCAAATCACCAAGTAGCAAAGCAAGCCAAACTTGAGCATCTAACATCTTTTTTTGAAAAGCTTCAAAATTCAATTTTCCAGACAAAAGAAATGTCTTTGTTCAGAGGTCTCTTGGGTGCCAGGAAGATTATTAACTTTTCTGTAGCGGCTACAAGCAAAAGGACAGTTTCAACTCCAAAAGGGTTTCTTGCAGTGTACGTTGGTGAAGATAAGGTCCAGAAGAAGAGATATGTGGTGCCAGTCTCGTACTTGAGCCAGCCTTCTTTTCAAGCTCTACTCGGTAAATCCGAGGAAGAGTTTGGATATGATCATCCAATGGGTGGCTTAACGATCCCTTGTCCTGAAGATACCTTCATCAATGTGACTTCCCGGCTTGAGCAATGAAGAAAAATAACTGACATTACTTTTAGCCTGAGTTAGAGAGAGAATTATTCAATGTATATATGCTAACTTTTACATCTTTCTTTGTGAAAGGGGTTGTTCAATAGGTTTCAAAATTTAAATGTGTATGTTATAGTAATTACATTAAGTTTTCTGAGAATATTGTCATCGTTCTTGGCTTCTTGCATACATGAAATGTATCTATATTAGTATGGCTCGGTCACATGAAAAGAAAAGCTAGAAATAAGACAGAACATTCATTCATGGTTATAGCCTTATAAGGAACCAATCAAAGAATAATTACATAAGAACAATGTTACTCGTCTCACAGTCAATCAATCAATCATCCTTTCTTGTTTCTCACAGTCATGTGGAATGCTGTTTGGGAAGACCACAAATTTCAACTCATTTCATTGATTCCTTTGTATCTACAGAAACAGAACAAGCTCTTCATATCGTTAACACAAAAGCAATCAAGAAACGTGAATCATTATCTTTAAGAACCCTCAAACTTTCAATATTAATGGGAAACAAGTTGAAACTTGTGAAACGCTGCAGACCATAAAATTTAACTCATATCATCATTGATTCCTCTGTATATTTGAAACAAAACAAACTTTTAATGTCATTAACACTCAAGCAAATCCAAACTTTCAAGATGAGATTATATTTTCAGGAACTTTCTGCAATTAGAATAGAGATCTTTATTGCTTACACAACAAAAATGACATTCACAAAGAACGAGCAAAAAAGGTTGACCTATTTACATTGATTAATTCTACATCTAACTCGAGCTACATAATGTTAGATCTCTCTTCTCCTTGGATCATCTTCCCTTTAGCCCGGAGGTCACAGTGATGAAAGTATCTTCAGGACAAGGGATCGTTAAGCCACCCATTGGATGATCAAACCCAAACTCTTCTTCTGATTTACTGAGCAGAGCTTGAAACGAAGGCTGGTTCAAGTATGCGACAGGAACCATATATCTCTTCTTCTGGACCTTGTCCTCACCAACATACACCGCAAGAAACCCTTTTGGTGTTGTAGCCCTTACAGAGCGGCTCATAATCTTCTTTGCACCCAAGAAACTTCTTACCAAAGCCATTTATACTCTTTGAAAAATCTAAACTGATGACAGGTTGAGGATCACAAGTTAAATTCAGAGAGTCAATTGTTAAGCTTTGGATTGCTTTACTACTTGGTGATGTGAAGAATTTGTTCTGTTTCTTGATGTATATATAGATCAATGAAGGGGTTAAAACCACCCTGCAATCAATGAAACTATGGTCTCAAACTACAAGCGTGGGACATCCAAGAAGAGAGTTTCACATGGTTTTGTTTTTCCAGATATGACAACCAATGAAAGCTAATCAACATTATTTGCACTTCAAGATGAGACATTGCAATCTTCTCTTGTCTATGACAATTGATGTGGTGTGACCGTTAAGTTGCCTACCAAGAGAACAAGAGTGACTTCTCTCAAAGGACATGATCTCATGGGGTGAAACTTAGATTTGATTGATTTCAAAACCGTGACTAACTTGTCAAGCTATCACATCTATGTGGTTATCTCTGCAAAAACCTCATCCAACCACCACCATCAGATTGATCATCAGATGGGGCCTTATGAGGTCATAAATGTTGGGGAAGACTAGACAAAGCATGTGTCAGTACATATTAGGTGAATTCTCTGAGCCAGAAAAGAACAACCTAACCAGAGACAGAGATGAGAGAATATGATCACCACAGAACATGAACAACTTGAAAGCATATGTCTTTATCAGAAAGAAAAAGAAAATAATTGAGAAAAACAGTCCTTCGTGAATTGCATATGGAGTTTGTTTTATAGTTTAATTGTCCTACACTCAAGTAATAGTCTTATCAGCACAAATTACATGAACTATACTTTTCAATCTGGTCAAGACAGAACCATGTGAAACTCTGTTTTAGTCTGTCCCACACTTCAAGACAGGAAGTTTCAATGATTTTTCAGAGAACCTTCAACTCATTCATTGGTCTTTCTATATATACATATCACATAACCCATTCTTTCAATCATCAACCAACAACAAGCAATCCAATAACTTCAATCTTTTCATACACCTCTTCAAACTTTCTGTCAAAATCATAGAGATGGCTTTCGTGAGAAGTCTATTGAGTGCAAAGAAGATTCTTAGCCGCTCCACAACAGCAGCAGCCGCAACAAGCAAAAGGGCAACCTCAGCGGCACCAAAAGGGTTTCTTGCGGTGTACGTAGGAGAGAGTCAGAAAAGGAGATATGTGGTGCCAATCTCATACTTGAGCCAACCTTCGTTTCAAGCTCTTCTCAGTAAATCAGAAGAAGAGTTTGGGTTCAATCATCCAATGGGTGGCTTAACGATCCCTTGTCCTGAAGACACTTTCATCACTGTGACTTCTAGGCTCCAATGAATTGTTTTTTTTTTTCAAGTTAGAGAGAGATAGACTTGTTCCTTGTAAATAGAGGATATTTTCCTCCTCATTCTTCTTGGAAGAGTTGTTCAAGAAGTTTTGAAAAGTAAATACAATTTCTCTGTTATAAACAAATCATGATTCATGTTACATTATTACATTTTTGGATCGATCATTGGAATAGAAATAACATCACCAATAGAAGAACTATAAATTTACTACTTTTAAAACTTTTAAGTTGCTGTTAAATTAATGAGAGCATTTTACCATATGGATCGTAGAGATCTGCTAGAGAGTTGTAGTACAAGAACCATAATATTTTCTGTATATCTCTGCCTTGGATCTCACGTCTTAAGTATAAGCCTATAACCTGCTAAATAAGTCTTTCTTGTTCTGTTTCTTTTGATTTGCTCTGTTTCCCTCTTTTACCGTTAAACTGGCGCCAAAAAAAACACAAGAATTGACAAAATTGGCACTTTCCTTTTAACCACAGCTTCTCACATTACAGCTTCTCTTAGTCCATAAAATATGGCATACTATGTATCAGTCTTACAACTTACCCACGTAACAATGAGAGAAACAGTATCAATCATTTGATGAAATGTATCTCTATATTCTGTTTTCCCTTTATTTAGCAAAGCTCAAACGCCTGCATATTTGTACGTAGAACTGTAATGGTTAAACTAAGGAATTAACTTCAAGCAGTAGTGACAGAGACTTATTTTCCTGTTCTGTTGTTGAAGAACAACAGGTCCCCACTTTAATAATTCATTTCGACCATATAACTTAGAGAATTGGTCAGAGAACAACCACTTGATCATCACAGATTCACAGAAACGTTGCAAGTAGAACTATGGGGCCAGTCTTATCTCAGAAACATTGAACAGACAAGCCCTTGTGAATTTCATAAGGAGAGTACTATCCAAGTGGACAAATTGCAATATTGCTTCTATTCCAGATGCTCAAAAGACAGAACCATGTGATACTCTTGTTTTAGTCTGTCCCACGCTTCAAAGACCACAAGTTTCAAAGACTTTTCAACAAATTGTATTCACTGGTCTTTCTATATATATATACACATGAGCCATTCTAATTTCTATCATCAACCAAATACTAGCAATCCAATAATTTTATCTTTTCATACATCTCTTCAAAAGAATTTAAAACATTCAGTCCTTAAAAACAGATATGGCTATGGTGAGAAGTCTATTGGGTGCAAAGAAGATTCTTGGACGCTCCATCTCATCAGCTTCCACGAGCCAAAAAACAGCCTCAGCGGCACCAAAAGGGTTTCTTGCGGTGTACGTAGGAGAGAGTCAGAAAAAGAGATATGTGGTGCCAATCTCATACTTGAGCCAACCTTCTTTTCAAGCGCTTCTCAGTAAATCAGAAGAAGAATTTGGGTTTGATCATCCAATGGGTGGCTTAACGATCCCTTGTCCTGAAGATATATTCATCAACGTAACGTCTAGGCTCCAATGATGATTATGATTATCCAAATCTTTTCTTCTTTCTGAGTTAGCAATAGACTTATTCATTGTAAATTTTAGAACATTTTTCTCATTTATTTCTTCTTGATAAAGTTGTTGAGAGAGTGAATACCTGTTCTTATGCCACATACACGGACATGTCAAAACGTTTTGGATCAGTTGTTAACGAAAGGCCACAACAATTGAGAAACTAAATTCAAGTTAATCAAATAATGACTAATACAGTATACGTGAAGGCTATTAGCATCCGGATCCGTGGCGCAATGGTAGCGCGTCTGACTCCAGATCAGAAGGTTGCGTGTTCGATTCACGTCGGGTTCAAACCCCCGAACAATATCCGGAATCCTTTTTGGAAAGTTTTAAAATGATTTGTGGCTAGACACAGTGAACCGGCGTTGTTTCTTAATCGCCGGTTGAATAGTACAATAACCAGCTTTATAGTGCTAAAGGTTGTATAAACTTGTATTACGTAAAAAATGTGTAAATCCCAAATGATCAATTCCTTGATTCATTAAAAGTTTGGATAATTAATCCCCTCCGTTGATCATAATATAAAACAGATTCATTTGCTTTTATTAAGGATGGTTGATACATTTGGTAATGTTTACACACAGAACAAGTATCACTTGATCAAAAAAAAAAAAAAACAAGTATCACTATCTTTCTCTGGTCTCTTTCTCTGTTTGACAAGGAAAACTAGAGGTGCAAATCTGTCTTGTGTCGTCCTCTGCATACAAAATCGAAATATGTATGTAGACAATCACTGAGACTTTTGAGCTGAGTTAGATGAGTGAATCCATGAGTCAAGTGTCTTGATAGCTTTCCCTGATGACTGTACTTCACGTGCCAAAGCTACTCCTTCACCTAGCGTTTTAACTCGGTTGCTAACCAAAAGAGCCGCAGCTGCGTTTAGGATCTACAAACAAGATTTTGAATTAAAACAAAAAGAAGTTCACAAAAAAAAAAGCGAATGGTGAATTCGGTGAAACAAAACATACCAATGAATCTGCTATTGATCCACTTTCCCCTGAAAGCACACGTTTTAACATATCCGCATTGTAGTCTGGACCTCCACCACGCAAATCCTCAAGTGTACAACGAGGAATACCAAAGTCCACTGTCCAAAAACAAAGAAGCTTTATATTTAAACCAACTTCACCAAGCTGCAACTGCAATCTTCATTATAGAAACGGGATAACAAAACTAGAGTTGAAAAGAGGATGTTTTACATGGGTCGAATGAGAATTCTTCGATCTTTTCTGGGGTTACATCATAAACTAGCCCTCCTCCTATTTCCATTAAAGCCATAATGGTTAGTAATCATTGGACAATAAAAGTCACCGGTTGTAAGAAGAGAGAATCTTAATATTACCTAACGGACTCATTTCGTCTAGGCCATATGAATGAACAACCAATGCTCTTTTCATGCCAAATCGTTGCAGTGCCTTTGCCATCTTAATAACCTATAATCCACAATCGAATATGATAAGTATAATTCTTTTTATTGTTATTATTGATGAACAACTGATTCCAGTGGTGAGAATGAGTACCAGATTTTTGTGGTATACACCAACGACGGCATAAGGCACGCTAGCAGGATTAAGCATAGGTCCCAGTACGTTAAAAACAGTTTTTATCTTAAGCTTCTTCCTGACAGGACCAACGATCTTCATAGCTGGATGGTACATTGGTGACATCATGAAAGCGATCCCTGATTCTTCAACACATCTCTTAATCCCTTCTGGTCCTAAGTCAATCACCACTCCTAGTGCCTCTAACACATCAGCACTTCCACAAGCAGAAGAACTCGAACGATTCCCTTGCTGCAAAAAAAAAAAAGATGAGTTCAATTACCATCTCAAGCAAATTTGGCATTCTTTTAAAAGGATGTTCTCAGTTATTACACCTTAGCTACTTTAGCACCGCACGCTGCAGCAAGAATTGAAGATCCAGTTGAGATGTTGACAGTGTTAGCTCCATCGCCACCTGTTCCTACTATGTCCACGGCATCAACTAATCCTTCCACTTTTCTCGCGTGCTTCATCATTCCCCTAGCCAACCCTACAATCTACCAAACACGCCTACTCAGTAGAAAAATTGTAAAAGAGAATTATGCATATGTTTTCACATGCCTAAATGGACTTAGTTTTAAACTTACTTCTTCGAATGTCTCTCCTTTAGCCCTCAAGAGAACCAGAAAGGCACTGATCAGTGCCTCATTAGGCTCGTTGAGCAAAAACTCGAGAGATGATTCAGTCTCGGATTCAGATAGATCAACCCGATCAATCAAAGATTCAATCAACTGAGGGAAAAACAAATAGAACAGAGAAAACACAGTGATGAAGTTAGCAATCTTCATTCATATTCTTGTATAATTCTTGTAAAACCATCAAAGTAATACACTTTCATTCATATTCGATCAAAAACATCAACTTTTTTTTGCAAGCCATACAAATAAATGAAATTTGAAGAGCATGAAGCAAGTGAATCAATCCAAGTCAGAAGAAAGCAGATCCACATAGTTAACTAGCAGATTTATCAACACCCCTAAACTGTTATAAATAATCGAGATGAGAAATCTCACCTGGTTGAAAGATTTGACTGAAGAAGCGGCGGCATTTTCACAAGCACTTGGCAGAGCTTCACGTGCACCACCGCTCAAAACGAGATTCCGAGAGTAACCGAAAGAGCTGCATCCATTCACGACATTAATTAGATTCCTAATATTCAAAACCAATCAAATCCCCCCAAATCGAGACTTACATGCGACTAGGATAAGACGGAAAGGAAGATTGTGCATTCTCGCGAATCGAGGACACGGCTAGGGTCGACGAGAATCGTCGCCGAGTAAACGCCGGATGAGTTTTAACATTGATTCTTCCGCAATCATCCGCGGAGTTGAAGGGAGTCACGATCCTTGAAGGATTGATCCCGGAAACAATGGAGGTCGCCGACGCCATATACGCCGCTCGATTCACAAACTAGAGAAAAGTGAACGAGGGAGAGCTGTGAATGATGGGGTCTTTCCTCTACTGGCGCCTTTAAATCCCACCTGATAAGAAGATTCAACTCCTATAAAAGAGAACCATTTCATGTGCCACAAAAAGAATATTCATCTTATTCGTTACGAATTTTTTAAAAGAAAAGAAAAAGTATATTTAATTAGATTTGGATGTAATAGTCTAACTAAAAGATCCGTAAGGAAAGTATCTTAGAGAAAAAATAATTAAATAATCGAGAGACTTTACAAAAAAAATTAATGATTCGATCCTTAAATTTTCTATATAAAAGTTATTTCTTATTAAATTTTTACACTATTTGCGGGTCCCTATGACACGTGACAGTCCGCGAATCATCATCTTTTTTTTATTTTTAGTTTTAAAAAAAAATCTGAAATAACCTTATCAAATCCGAAATACTTTTTTTTTTAAGGATTCATATGAGTCTCACGATTTCTGATGCTCTAAGAGCACCTATAACCCTTGTTGCTTAGAGAGTTGTTTAAGTGGAAAAAAGTGCTTATTTTGAAGAGAGAGAGTGTGAAAAGTGCTTAATTAAGCATTTTTCAACGAGGGTTAAAGGTGCTTTAATGTTAAGTGACCAATCGGTAGGTAGCTTAACAAAGAGTCATTGGTTTTTATTCTAATTTTTTTAATTAAATTAACTTTCTTAAAAAATTGAATATTGCTGAATGCTGACTAAAAAAGATTTGAAAGTTCAGAGTTAGATAACAACATGCAGTTGGTGGGCATGTGCTATATAACTTGTTCACCAACTACGTTTTTCTTATACTTCATTTTTGTTATCTTTCCTCACATTTATCACACATCTCTAAAAGTAGGTTTGTAATTAATTTATAGGTAAACTCATGTAATCTTTGATTATATAACGCAACTAGTGGCCTATAGTGACCCAAGAAGGCCCAATAAGCTGAAACAAAACCCAAAATATATACAGACAATCCGCGCCACAAAAATACAACACTACTATAAATGATTCAACATCATATTCATCTACTGCAAAACAGCAGCACTGGATTTTTATTGAACTCGCAGTTAATCTCATCACATGAGCCGATCAGATAACGAAGGTAGCCGCCGGAAAAAGTTTATCACCGGAGAAGGTTTCCTATCACGGAATATCGGATGCCGGAAGTAATAAAACCCCGACGCCATCGCCACCATCTTCATCGGCATTAGATACAGCACCAACGCCACAACTAAACACATCCCCACGAATATACCCGTCGCTCTTGGATCCCTCCACGTCACCAAAGCCTGCATCCTCTCCCCCTGCCCCGCCACCTCACCAAGAATCGTCTGAACTCTAGCTCCGACAGCTCGCAGCTTATCGTACCTTGACCGGACCATCTCAGGCGGCCGGTTACTCGGAACAACGTCAAACTCTTCATCCAGCTCCTCTCTATCGGCTGCATCAGCTAAGGAGAGTCTTGGATCGAAGTGAGGGAGAGCAGCGCGTGACCTAAACCTATAGTTCCACGCACCGATTACAAACAAGTAAAAAGCTATTGTCGGAACGATAAGATCCGGGAACCAAATCAGCATCACGACAAGCGCGTGAACGAGGAGAGTCGCTGTCGGATTCTTCCAGTAACGCGTGTCATCCATCCATCGCACCACGTCGACCATTCCCGCTACGACATTGACAATACGGAGCCAGTTCGCTCGGACTTTACGCATGCTGAAAGTGTGTGAATCGGCGTCGAGCATGTACCGTACAATCTCAGGCCTTAGAGGGGGCTCAGATCGTGACAAGTGTACGGCTAGTATCTTCACGGCTGTGTTCCTCAGCATGTCTTCCTGAAACAGAGTCAACGGTTTGATGTGGTGCATCAAAGGCAACAATGGTTGGGTGTACACGTGTAAGAAATCCAGCGGTGGAGCTGATCTCACGAATCTAACGGCCAGTTCTATCTCCCCTAGTTTCTTAACGCCTCCGTTAACTAACATCAGCAATGGATACGTATTTCTATACGCTTTCCCCGTCTCCAACGTAGATATACGTATCCGAACTTTTCCGATTCGAAGATCTTGACGCGTGGCTTCCTTTCCACCGTCGATTTCATATACTCCCCAACTATCGAAGACTCCTATTGTTAGAACCGTACACGGATCGTAAACTTTCCACGTGTACTGCTCGTTCCACTTCGGATCTAATGAATCCGATACGGTTCGGGTCCGGACCCATTTGGTACCGTATTTCGCCACCGTGTACGCGTCCGTCGATCCTTTTCCGTTAACCGTTTTCATCGGCAGGAGATTCTTGCAACCGATCACACCGAGCTCGACGATCCCAACCGCCGGTTTCCATAACTGCCTCGCCGTCGGTCGATAATCGCTGCACACGTGCGCCGCCTCGTCCATCACGTGATATCCGCCGTCGAAGCAGAGCCTCAGGTGTACTCTAGATCTGTTTCCTCTCCTCTCGTCGTTTGGATCATCGAAACCGAACCATTTGGACGCAACCAAACGCTCGTCGACGCGCCTCTCGATCGCGGTGAGCGGCACGCGTGCCATCCCCACGGTGACGGG